AGGGATGTGGTGTCTTCCAGAAAGAGACAAGATTCTTTGAGTGCAAGAAGACGGACTGAATGAATGATTAAGAATTTACTATGTGCAAAGCACTATGCCAAGTGTTGAAAAAGTAAGATCTAAGGTGAGACAGTGAAAAGATCTAGGATATAAACCAATGGGATGATGGTTCCAGAGGGCACTTCTTACCTCACCGGGGTGGTTGTGAATAAAGAAATCTGTAGACCTACGGACACATAATTATGAATTAGGATGGACTACATATATTCCCTTATATCAATATGCCTCCCAGAGTGTTCCTAGAGATTTTTCATATGGGTTTCATATGATCTAGTAAGAACTTTCAGATTCTAGCTTCTGCTAATGTAGGGCTCTCCTGGCTTGGAAAATTCAAGCCTTTACTGGGCTCCTTGTCTTTGGCCCAGCAGCTCTCCTTGAAATCAAGCTGAACCTAGCTCACTGGAAGTCTGGCTCCATCGAGCAGGGTGCTATGTTCAAAGGACAGCCTTTACTTTTGGGTGAAATGGATGATCTCTTACCCAGTGTGATCTGAGGGATATTGGGAAGACTCACATCTTTCCCAACTGGACACAACACTCAATATTCTATTGCCAAGGGTTCATTCTTTGAACTTTTTTCCTTTGTGTTCTCAAAGACACTGCTCTTTGGAGGGAGTATCATACCACCGAGATAAATACTGAGTATTAGAGATGGAAGGGACTTACATCATAAGATATCAGAAGTAGAAAGAACCTTAGCTTATAGAATGTCAGAACTGGAAGAGCCTTAAGAATGAAAGATGTTGAGGCAGTGAGGTGGCACAATGGATACAGCACTAGCCCTGGAGTCAGGAGGACCTGAATTCAAATCCAGCCTCAGACACTTACCAGCTGTGTGATCCTGGGCAAGTCACTTAACCTCAATTGCCTCCAACTGCCCCCCCCCCAACAAAAGCTGTTACAGCTGTAATGAACCTTAGAAGAAAGAATGTCAGAGCTAGAAGGAGCTTTAAAACATAGGGTGCCAGAGCTGGAAGGGACCTTAGAATGCAAGATATTCAAGCTGAAGAGGCTCACAAGACACCAATTGTTAGGATTAGAAGAGGCCTGGGATCTAGTCCCTTCATTTTATCGATGAAAAAACTAAGGCCTGGTCAGGACACAGAAATGACTTGCCCAAGGTCACAGAAAAAGTAAATAGAGGTAATATGTTTCAGTGAAAAGACCTGGGTTCAAATCTTGGCTCTTACATTGAAAAGCAGTGAAGGTCCATGCCATATGGGGCTCCATTGAAGAAAGACGTTTAGTTGTGACTACAGAAGTCTCATGGTGGATACAATAGCTGTTTTCAGGGATTTGAAGGCTGTTATGTGAAAAAGGGTTCATCCTTGTTCTGATCAGCCTGAGAGGGCAGAAGTAGGAACACTTGGCGGGAATTTCAAAGAGACAAATTTCAGTTATGGATGTGGAAGAAATTCCTGACAGTCAAGGCTGTCTAGTAGTGGTATGGGCTGCCCTGGGAAGAGAGGTTCCCCCCTCTGTGAAGGTCTTTGGGCAAAGGCTGGGTGACTACTTGTGGTGTCCTGGGGATTCTTTTTCAGGTATGGGTTAAACTAGATGGCTGCTGAGTCCCTTCCAATGCTTACTGTGTGAACCTGGCAAATCAAGTCATCTCTCCGAGCCTGAAACATGTGGATAATGCCTTCCTGTGACCTGGGCTCAGGTTAGGTAATGGTCACATAGTCAACACAAGGCTGAACAAATGAGCTTTTAGGTTGCCAAGAGCCAGTGAGAGGAAGTGTGGAAATGCATTGGTTCATATCCCAGCTGACGTTCACTGTACATACTCGATGATGGGCATTCACTGCACGTTATGTGATGACGGGCAAGTCACAAACTCCCTGAATGTCTGCATTCCCATCTGTAAAATGGGGACCACAGCTTGCACTCCCTTCCTCAAATGGTGGTTATGAGGAAAGCTACAGAAATGTAGGTTGCACTCTTTGAAGTCAGGGACTTCTCCATTTTGTCTTTCTATCCCCGTTGTCTCGCGCAATGTCTGTAACTAGTAAATGCTTAATAAATGCTTGGTTGATGCCCAAGAGTTAAATAAACATGAAAGCACTGTGTACATGTGAGCTATTACATGAATAAATGATTTGTTTATCACTACTTCCTCTCCTTTCAGCAACTCCCTCAAAGCATCCAGCATCCTCATGCTGTCCTTTAAACCTCCAATATTCTCCCCTGGGAACGCTTAACCAGGCTCAAACCCAATCCCATGCTCCAGACTTTCCCCAAATCCTTCATGTCAGAATTAAAACTTTTATGTCCTATGATTGTGACTCTCAGGTGACAGTTGGGCAATACTCCCCATGAATCGAATCTGAGTTAAAGGGTGCTAATGTGCTCCAATTTAATATTCTTGCAATCTAATAATGGTATTCTCAGCAGAAGACTTTTAGCCCAATGAACTAAAGTCATGGTTCTTTGATAAGTGCTAGGTGCAGTGGATAAGAATATTGGACTTGGAGTCAGAAATACATGAGTTCAAAACCAGCTTTGCACACCTGCTAGAGGTGTGACTGGGCAAGACACAACCGCTCTCAGCCTCAGTTTCCTTATCTGTAAAATGGGGATTATAATAGCACCTACCTAACAGTGTCGCTGTAAGGATCAAATGAGATAACACATATACAGCGCTTTGCAAACCTTAAAGTGCTGTATGTTAAGTATTATTTTTCTTTCTTGCCTCATATCATACCTTGCAGGCAGATGATGATTTCATTAATGTGCAGGGCAGGCCCTAGCACTTGCTTTGAAAGGCAGGCAGAATTGTGGTGGTAGCAGGGAAGGACAGGGAAAGACAAGGAAAGTAGGAAGCCTGTTGGTGCCTAGGAGATCTGTAAGTCAATTATAATATTTCTTCCTCTACCTGCATCATCTCATCAGGCTGTGAAGATAGCTGTAGGGACTTGGTGACTCTTACAAAAGGCCTCTCTGCCTTACAGATCAGGTATGAGTCAATCTGTTCTGACAGAAAGCCAATTACTGGGGGACTGAGGAGGCAAGAGTCTTAGCCAGTGACCGCCATCTTTTCAAGGGACTCAAAGCTGGAAAAACCCACAGAGATTAGTGTTAACTCACATCCCTCAACCCCTTAACTTCCAAGACTTCTGATGATTTTACTAGCTTCAGAGGGATAGACTAGTAGAGGCCACTTATTTCTCCCATCAAAAAAGCCCCTGAAAACCTTTAAACACAAAATATTCTTTTATTTGTCACCGAAGGCTACACAGGATCACTTCTGTTTTTTGTTTTTGTTGTTTTTGTTTTTCTAGAAGGTATCTACATCTGCATTTATTTACAGCCTTGCCCGGTATTTACACAGTCAAGAATACAGTGTTAGAAACACAAGGTGTCGAGAAAAAAAATTTCTCAAAATTAGTTCCAGACTTCAGGAAAACTATTACACGCAGCAATGCTGGGGTCTCCAGTGTGGGTTTTCACAAGGCAGCTCTGATACAAAGTCTCTTTCATCCAAGCTGCAGATTCAGAAGTCCTCACGCAAAATTAGTAGGCCAGGTTAGAAAAGGGGATTTCATGTTTTGATTTCTTCGGTAGGGGCTGCCGTCCTCCACCTGTGCCTCTTTCTGGGCCAGAGCTGCTATGAGTTGAGTTTTCCTGTAGTCCATCTGGTGTCCCCCTGGGATGTGTCCTGGTGTCCCTTGGGACGTATCTAGATAGATACACTTTCTCGAGAGCAGCTGGAAGGCTCACCAGTGGGGTAAGAAAAGACGTTTCTGACCTGGCAGGCCTCTGCCCTGCATCCCCCATCCACTTTACTACCATCTGTCACTTTAAGCTTGCCTTGATCTGCCATTTAGTTACGGAACTGCGAATCTTATCAGGCCCATGTCTACTCACGTACCCCTCTGCCTCTCATAAACAAACCGGTTTCAAAGGGAAAGTTGAAGATGGAAATCATACAGCAGAGTTATGGGTGTCTCACAAGCAAGGTATCCACTCCTAGAATTTGCGGCTGCTACCAAAAGTCAAATGAGAGTCTTTAAGTAGCAAATCCTTGCTCTTCCCTCTCCCCTACAAGATGTTTGCTCCAGTGGGACAAATAAGCAAACCTGACTGTGACTCATACACCCCAAATAAAGGTCTTTCTGCCCCGAGGAGGACAGGAATGACCCTTGGAAAAGGTCAGACTTGGAAAAAGTCTTGGCTGCCTCAAACCCCTTCAAACCACGGGCTCTGGTGTGTTTCACCGAAGGGCCAACTGCTGCCAAGAGACTGGAGATCAAGTGGCCCGAGATATCCACCCCTTGCCCAGTCCCTGGCAAAGTGCACAGGCCTGGCCCTGGCAAGCAGCGGGCAGGCTGACCCAACCCAACCTAGTCTCTGCACCCCACAAGCGGAGCTGGGGACCTTACTGATATTGAGCGTTTATTCCTCCAAGGCTGCCTTGAGGCAGACCAGTGGGAAGCCCGTGTGCCCAAGTTTCAATCATGCACTGGCTGAAGCAAAACAGACTGCTACAAATATGACGTGTCCTCACTGGAGATCATAAAATCAAATTCTAAAATTTCAAGTTAAGAGCCTTGTCTCTGTATAATGGATCTCTCTGCAATCCATCAGGGTGACACTTACAAGTCACAGCTGAAAAGGTCCTTTTTTTTTTAATATTTGATCCTCATGTCTGTAACAGACCACTCTCCTCTCCCCTCCTCACCTTTGCCCATGATCCCCTCAATGAAACAAGGACCTGTGTTCCACAGCAGCCCTGTTTGGTTCTCAACGTTTCCCGGTTTCTCAGGGTTAGCCTCATATCATCGATTCTTTTTTTTTTTTTGGCTAGGGAATGGGGTTAAGTGACTTGCCCAAGGTCACACACCTAGTGTTATGTGTCTGAGGCCACATTTGAACTCAGGTCCTCCTGAATCCAGTGCCTGTCCTCTATCCACTGCACCACTTAGCTACCCCTACATCATTGATTCTTTTTTTTTTTTTAGGCAATTGGGGTTAAGTGACTTTCCCAGGGTCACACAGCTAGTAAGTATTGATTCTTAATGTAGAAATTAAATACCAGGTCTCTCGGTGGCTCATAGGGCTCTAGTCTCAGCTGGTACCTTTGACAGATGAGTGGCAGGGCCCCCACCTGGTAACAGGACTGCTTACCAACTTGCTCTACTATCTAACACCTTCCCAGCTTCTGCAGTTCAGTGTTTCTCTTTTGGGTTGCAGGTAAAATATACTGCTCCCATGAACCAAGGTCTTGCTCAATGAGACCAATGGAAAAGAAGAGCTTTGGGTCCTACTCAAGAGATACAGGGTTAGAGGTGTCTATGTGGGTGGGCGGGGGTGCAAGATGGGGGATCCATACTATAGTTAACTTCCTTCTCTGGTAAGAGATCAACGTAACACAGCTACCCAAGAATGAGTGTCAACCAAAGAAGGTGCTTTGATTGCTTCAGAATTGAACTGATCAGGGCACGTAGAATCACAGACTATTAAAGCTGAAAGGGCCCCCGAGGTTATCCAGTCTAACCCATACAAGAGGAATCTTTCCTACGGTATCCCCATCCTTAGGCCTTTTATCTGGTCTCCACTTGGAAGATTGTAATGAATAATGGGAATTCATTCCCGTTGGGGCAGCCCCAATGTACTTTGTGAAAGTTCTGATCTAGCTTGTTTAACTTTGGACTGAGTCTAGTCCTTATAAAGCCCAGGTCATAGGTCAAGTCACTGGATGGGATTTTTAGGTTTGCCTAAAGATTTATCCTTTTCCAAGCTTGTAGGCTACATATAAAACCTGGTGGGCCATCTCGTAAAAATGTGTTGCTGGTCACAGGGGGACCTGGGTGATGGAATGGGCAGTTCAGCTTGAACTATTCACCACCATTCAGGACAAGGCAACTCAAAAGGGTGGTGGAGCCAACAAGTGGCTTCTGCAGTGATAACTGGTAGCATCTGCTTGTTGGGTAATTCTGGCTATCGGAAAGGAGGGGGATGGGGTGGGCAAGATAACCTCTCTGGTCTTTCACTCCCCCCCTGACATTCTAAGGCCTTCCTGTTCCCATTTAGGGCTGCTGATGCTCCATTACCACATACCAGAATCACAAATTACAAAAGCCCAGAAGGAGAACAAACTTTGGGGGTCATCCAGTCCAACCTCTAATTGAACAGGAGTACCTTCTACACTATTCCTTGCAGAAGGCCATTTAGCCTCGGCTTAAGGACCCTCAGGGATGGGGAACTCACTGCTCAATGAGGTAGTCCATTTCATCGTGGGACAACTGGAAATGTTAGAACATTCTTCTTCCAACTGAGATGAAATCTGCCTTCCTGGGACTTCCTGGCCCCCTTTTGGTCTTAGCTCTACCCCCTAGGACCAAGCAGCACAAATCTGCTCTCTCTTCCACTATGTAGCTGAAAAGAAACAATTGATAATCATTTAATGCAAGAGACTTTCCAGTGCTTCCAAACCAAAGGCTAACCAAAGTGGGACTTCAGATACTGAGGTTTTTGGCAACATGATGTCAGTGGGGGGACCCCTTGCCTTAGTCACTCTGCTGTCTCTGCAGCTCACAGTGGGTGATCCTAATAATTCCTCCTTACTGGGGAGAGCTAAGAGGCCAGTAGGCATCCCATTAGGTCTACTGATAGCCATCCTTGTCCTTGGGCACATGGCCATTATCAAGTGGCATTTTAGAGGCTGAGGCCCACAAGGATTGGGGGCCATGAAGAAACAGTAGCACATCTGGCAATTTTCTGAGCAAGATGAATAGATCCATAGGATGTCAGAGCTGGAAAGGACCTCAGAGATAGATCATCTAGTACAATCCCTTCATTTTATAGAGGAAGGAACATAGGTCCCCAAAGGGGAAGTGACTTGTCCCAGGTTACAGAGTGATAGATCTGGGACTAGACCCAGTTTTCTTGACTCCCCCACCCAAAGCTCTTTGGGTTTTGTCCCATTTTTTTTCTGGTCCCATCTTGTTGCACCTTAAAGCAGATATGGCTAGACAGAGAACCGGGTCTCCAGCTTGGATGGCGGCACTAATCCCCTGGCAGCATTCTAAGAATGTCCTCCGATTCAGCAGAGCTCTGATTTAGAGGTGGCAGTGAAATAGATGGACAGACCCAAAGTTTATTTTCATAGTAGTGTGACTTCTGTTTTTTTTTTTCTTTAACCTGAAAAGCACCCAGTTAACTACAACCTCTCACCACTGCCCCTCCCACCCGAAAACCTAAGGCAAATAAATTTATTTTCCATCAGGCAGGTTTGAACTGTCCCCTAGTTCTTGGCCTAGCACAGACTAGAAGGTGCACAGGCTTTTGGAAATCGAGAGACCGGCCTGCTTTCATTAGCTTGTGTAATAATCTGAAGACTCCGTGAGTAAGGCTATAAAGGTACCGAGAGCTTATCAGTCCAACAAAGTTTCCACTGGGAATAGCTCAGACTTGAAATCCATTTTTCACACTTAATGTAAATGAAACCCATTTGCTACCACAAAAGGCCCATTTTTTCCAACAAGCCAGCCCCAAAAAGAAGGTGGTAGCATCTCTTCCTGCCCCCCCCCCACATTGATGGCCATGGTGATGAAGTGTGTGAACGAGAAAAGGAACTCTGTTGACAGCAAATGCTTAACACAAGGGTGCTGCACACACACACACACACACACAGAGTAGGGGAAGCTTAGCTCTCTCCAGCTCATCTACTTCCCAGCTGCCCAAGGGCCCCAAAATCATGGCTGATCCACACTGCCCCTACCCTGTGATCATCCCCAAACAGCATGCCCATAGCACATCTCCTGGGGGAAAAGGAGTGGTTGGGGGTGGGGGGAAGGAAACTTTGTTTCTCTTCCTGCTGGGTTGCTTGTGTTATGACTGGGGGGGGGGGCTGGGCTGACCTGACAAAGTGAGGTCAGGCTCGTGGAGGGTGGGAGATTCCTGGCTTGGTGGCTCTGGGAGCACTTCAGTACGAAACACACTGCCACGTTAAGCAAGGTTTTCAGCAGGTGGTCTTTCTTTAAAAACAAAAAGGATCTATGGGATTTAGAGCTGAAAGGGGCTTTAGGTTGCTAGCCTGTCCTTTACAAACGAAAAAACCTGAGGTTCTAACACTATGAAATGACTTGCTCAATGTCACACGGGTGAGAGAGTAGTTGAACTCTGGCCCTTGGAACTCCAGATCCAAGGTCCCTTCCACTATTCAAATTGCCACTGGGGCTCCCGTGCAGCCAGTTATTTCCAGGAATGCTCCCCCCGCAACCAATTATTTCATGACTTATTCCAGAGCACTTGTTAGCTAGCCACCCAGCTAGCCTGCCACATGCCAGACTTTTTTTTTGAGGGGCTTGAGAATTTTCAGGGATAGTTAATGTCATTTCTCGCTCAGGACTCTCCCTCGATTAGCTTATCAGAAAAACATCCCCTCCTCCAAGCATTCTGCCTCCCTGCATTCCACTAATAATGCCTTTCTTTTCAGACCCCACTGTTCCTGCCTGTGAATAGCACCTAGGTGTCACGACAATCCTTTTGCCGCTATACCCCTTCCTAACATCCCCTTATCCCCCATACCCCCTCAACCCTTGCCAGGGCACATCAAGGGGACTTTGAGAAGGAAGGCAAATTCTGAACTCCACTGCCACCTCTATCATTTCATCACAATCAACATTTATTAAGCACCACTTGTATACAAGGTCTTTTGCTTGTGGCAGGAGGCTTCTCTTATTGGGACACTGGCCCTCCCTCTAGGCTCATCTAGTTACCTAAAACTAGTCTCAGCTCCGACTATGGGGAATAGTGGAACCAGATGGGGAACCCAACCATGACAACAGACCACGGCCTCCAAAAATAAGGAACATGGCTAATTCCATCTAGCACCTAACATCCTGGGAGTGCTCAGACTTGAGCACAGGAGTTCTCAGACTCACAGACTGTTAGCACTGGAAGGAGATTCAGAGATGATCTAGTCTAATCCGGAGGAGCGATTCAAGGCTCAAAGAGGGGGAGTGACTTGCTGAGATTCATACTCAGGTCTTATGACTGCTCCCCGTCACTAGAATGGGGAGCAAGAGGAAAAACCTTTCCTAGTGGAAAGGCATAAGGATAGGATGGAGGGGGGGGGATGGTGGTGGTCTTACATAACTGGTTTCAAGATCTAAAGTTGGGTCTTTAGCCTGGGGCCCATGGGGAAGGGTGCTGAATGTCACCTTGGCCTCCAGCAAAGGGACATGCTGGTTTTTGGGTCTCCAGAGGCACAAAATACTGGGCAGGGGTCACATGGAGGCTCAAGGGCCCTACCAAGGATTCAAAGATGCAATAGGACCCCCTCCCTGCTACTCCCACCCAGTGGACCCAGCCTTGGCCCCTGGAGACTTTAAGTAAGTGCACTGGGGTGTGATTTTCTTCTCTCTCTCTCTTCCCATCCCACCTTTCCCTCTTGTCTTCGGAAGCCTGGGCCTGGGATGGGACCAGGTAGCACACACACACATACTCTGGGCTCACTTCCGACTGACCAAGTACTTAGGAAAAGACACTGACCCACTCATCTGGAAATGCCTCCCAAGGGAGAAAGACAAAAAAAAAGAAAAGAAAAGAAAAGAAAACACGACCCCAAACCACAACATAAAAAAAGGAACAAGAAACAGGAAAGTTTTCACTTTGATCACACACTACGGGAAAAAAATAATACCTTCTGTTCTTTGCAAAAACGTGTGAAGGCCAAATTAAAAAAAGAAAGGATGTTGCATGAGTTACCGTGCAACCAATCTCTTTTTTTTTCTTTTTCTGAGCTCATTAAGAAAATTTTTTTTCTTTTTTCTTTTTTTTTGTTTTTGTTTTTGTTTGTTTTTTTGTTTGTTTGTTTTTTTCTTTTTTCCCGAGTACAACACAGTCAGGTAAGTGGCCACAAGAGAGTAGCTGTCTTTGGCAAGAAGTTAATGCTCGGACCCTCTCTGTCACCTTCTGCCCATCTCACTCTGTCTCATGAAGTGAATGTTGCTGGCACTGTCGGCCAGTTCTGGGTACTGCTCTGCCGAGATGACAAAGTATCCGTCATAGCCTTGCACCCGCCCGGTGCTCAGCACCTGCTGCTTCTCCCCCTCTGTCCAGGAGCGGATGCCCTCCTCCCCTTCCCGTAGTCTCTGCTGTTCTCGGACCCAGGCCTGGCCCACAGCCCTCTGTCTGGCTACTCCAGTACTCGCGCCTTCTCCTCATCCAGGGTTGTCCCGTAGCGGGTGTTCAAACACAGCGCCCCATGCTGCAGCTGGATGTCGGTATAGCGTCTAGTCCTTCCACTGATCATTGTGTTGATCTGGGAAACCGTAACATTCACCCCATTCTCCAGGGTCCGTCGCCCCCCGCTGAGGCCCAAGATGGCCAGGTCACTCTCCGAAGGCCCTGCTTTCACGAAGTAGTGCGTGTCTACCCCCTCGACTGTGAAGTGCAAGTTCTCCAGGTAGTGGGCATTGTTCAAGATGGCAGCGATCCTCCGACCATCCTCATTGGCTGTGCTGATGATGTCGGTGGCCACTCTTCCATCTTTCATGGCAAATTTTACTCCCTTGCCAAAGACAGACCCACTGGAGGCGAATTTCTTTGTCTCCTGGGACTGCTGGCAGCCGACGATGTGAGAACCATAGATCTGCTCAAACCGTTCCAGGGTGACGAAGGATTTTAGCTGCCTCTGCACCTCACACTGCACCCCAAGGATGGACTGAGGGACAAAACAGAAACAGAATTGGTGAGAATACGGAAAACAAGGAATACAGTCAATTTATTCATTCATTCCATGAATGGATATTTATGGAGTATCTACTCCCTAAGAGCAGAGGGTTGTGACTGGGCAGAAACTCCCAGTCTCCTCACTGCTCTTTCCACTACATTAATTGCTTATGCATTTGTCCCCACTCCTCTTCCCCACCTCATCTTTATCTTGCTGCTTTCAGGGTCACTTTCTGCATGAAGCCTTTCCTGATCCATCCAAATGCTAGTGCCCTCCCTCCTAAACCAGCTGGTATTTAACTACTTTGTATATATTTGTCTTATATTTATATTGTTTATATGTATCTATGTACTTGTTGTCTCCCTTGTTAGAATGTAATTGGTTTAATTCCATTTTTTTGTCCTTGTAGCTCAGTGCCCAGCACAGGTGTTCAATAAATACCTGACTGATTGATAGACGCAGGATCTCATCACTATGAGTATTCCCTCCACTGGTGCAGATTGCAACCCATCTAAAATATCTCATCCTGCATGATTATTGTTTGCATCATTCCATAGCTACTACAGAGGGTCCCTACAAGGGGGGAGGGAGTAGAGCATCACTGGGGCCTATCTGTTTTCTCTCGCATCATGTGACTTGGCTGACCTCCATCAATGCCTAAGAAAAAAGCACTTTTTACTCCTTAAAAAACATAACCCAGTGCACTGGGAATAGAATTATGGGACTGGGAATTGGGAAACCTGGGCTCTGTCATTAACTTGCTATGTGACTTTGGACAAGTCATGTCACCTCTAGAGGCCTCATTTTTCTTCATCTTTAAAAATGAGGAGGTGAGACTGGAGGGATTATAAATTCTTGGCAAAGAAGCCAAACACCTCAGGAGGACAGGCAGTATCTTCATGACCAAAGCTGACTAAAGGACAGGGTTTCAGAACTAAGGGGCAGGTTTAGGAGGTGAAGAACGAGCTTGAGTTTGTTTCTGTGAATGGGATTTGTGTTTCTGATGGGGGTTTATAATAGAAGAATGATGGGCTACCCGTCAGAGACAGAATGTGCCCGGTAAGGGCTGGGAAAAATGCATTTATCTGGAGTCTTGAAAATCTTGTCAAAAAGGTTTTAAACAGGGAAGGGACAGCTGACAGGCTACACCTGATATCAATAAGGAAAAAGTAGTGTCTGGAATGGAAATGATGGGAACTTTGGGAAGAAGTGACCATTCTGTCTTAGAATCTGAGATAGCATAGAGGAAGGCTGGGTGTATATCTGTATGTATCATCTGTACCTGTATCTACAGATATGCATAGGTACATACATGTTCATACATACCATACAGTTTAGTCCAGGGGTAGGGAACCTGCGGCCTTCTAGATCCTTAAGTGCAGCCTTTTGCCTGAATCCAAATTTCACAGAACAATTTGCCCGTCCCCTCATCTTCCCTGGCTCCTCCCCTCACTAAAACCCTAGTCCCTCCCTGCTCTTCCAGGCCACTGCTTCCATCGTGGGCTCATTTTCTTCCCTTTAGCTTATTAATTCAGCTTCGCTCTGCCCTTGATTCCTGGATCCCTCGTTCTGCTGTCCCACCGCTGCTCATACTTTTCCAAACCTCAGCCCTGTGACTCCATCGTCTGCCTTCCTCCCTTCCTGCTCACGTGCTACAGGACCGTGCATGGAGGAGGCCCGGGTTCGGCACACATCTACACTGTCCAGCCTCAAGCGAGCTCCTTTAATGCTTCCCGGAGTGGCCCTCTCCCCACAGAGGCTGCTCAGAATCTTTCCTTTTCTTGGTCACAAGACTCCTATCTACCAGCACCTCCGAGTCATGGGTTGTGCCTGCCCAGCTTTCTTCCCTCTTTTGACAGAGAGTGTCTGTTGGTCAGTTTCTCAGATGTTTTCGGCTCTTCAGGACCCCGTGGACCATACTGTCTGCTTTCGTTTGAGCAAGGACACAGAAGTGGTCTGCCACTTCCTTCTCCAGTGGATTAAGATAAATAGAGGTTAAGTGACTTGCTCAGGGTCACACTGCTAGTAAATGTCTGAGGCCGAATTTGAACTCAGGTCTTCCTGATTCCAGGCCCAGCACTCTAGCTACTGAGACACCTAGCTGCCTTCACTTGACCCTGCCATCCCTTCACTACTCTCCTGTCTCTCCTTTTTCACAGTAAAACTCCTAGAAAAGTTGTCCACGTTCATTTCTTCCATCAGTTTCTTGTTCCTGGCTTTCTTCCACACCCGTCGACTGAAACTGCTCTTTCTGTGGTCACCAATGATCTCTTCACTGCCAGATGCAACGGCTGTTTCTCAGTTCTCATGCCCCCACGGCCCCTCGGAAGCATTTGCCACTATTGGTGATCCCTTCTGACTGTATGCTCCCTCCTCTTTATGTTTTGTGATTCTGCTTTGATAGGGTTCTTTCCACTCACCTAACTGATCCTTCTCAGTGTCTTTGACTGTACCATCATCCACATCGCACTCCCTATGCAGGAGTGTTAAACCAGCACGTTCCCTGGGTCCTATTCTTTTTTCTCTTTCGACTTTCTTTTTCACTGATTCCCATCAGCTCCCATGGATTTAATTATCTCCTCTATACAAGTGATTCCCAAACCTACGTACCCAACCCTCACCTATCTCCTTGAGCCCCGGTCCTGTGTGACTAACTGCTGGCTGGACATTTCCACCTGGATGTTCCATAGCCATCTCCAACTCATTACACCCCAAACAGAACTCATCCTCTCTTACTCTAAAGCTAGTCTTTCTTCCAGTCTCCTTGCTTCTGGTCAAGGCACCATAATCCTTCCAGTCATCTTGGCTTGCAATCTCAACTTTCTCTCTCATTTCCTATCCCTGAATCCAATTACTTGACAAGTTTTATCCATTAAAATTCCTTAACATCTCTCACATCCATCTCCTTCTTGTCCCTCACCAGTCACTACTCTCATTTTGGCCCTTATCACTTTCCCCCTAGGTTACCACCTCCTCATTGATCTCCTTTTATCCAGACTCTACCCTCTGCAATCCTTCCTCCACGCAAATTGATATTCCTAAAGCACAGGCCTGCTTTCCTAACTCTCTTCCATAAGAACGTTTACTAATCCACTACTGCCCTGGCCAGTCAATCAGTCAGTTAATTAGCATTTATTAAGTGCCTACTATGTGCCAGGCACTCTTCTCAAGCTCTGGGGATATAGAGAAAGGCAAAAGACAGTCCCTGCTCACCAGGAGCTCAGACTAATGAGGGAGACAACAAGTAAACACCTCTGTGCAAACAAGCTATGGACAGGATAAATTGGAGATAATCAACCTAGGGAAGGCACTAGCATTATTGAGGGGGATCTCAGGCTAAAAAAAGATAAACTATAAACTCCTCTGCTCGGGACTTAAAGCCCTTCACCTAATCTGGCTGCAGCCTGACTTTTCAGTCTGATAATAGATGAGCTCCCCTCAGATCCTCTATATTGCAGCCAAACTGGCCTGCTTGTCATTCACCATCCGTGACATTCAGTCCCCCTCCTCCTCACTCCCCATGCCTGCAATGTTTTCTGTCTTCACTTCGGCTTCCTGGTACGCCTTCCTTCTCTCCAGGCTTAGCCCAAAGGCCTCCTTCAAAAAGCCTTTTCTTATTCTCAGAATTGTTATTGTCACTTCCCCAACTGCTCCGTATTTCTTTTCTATACATCCTCTTTTTGTTTATCTGTGAACACGGGGCAGTCCCCTTCTTCCCCTCCAATAGAAAGTCAGGCTTTTTTTGAGCCATTTCACTTCTGTATTTACATTCCCAGTATCTGGCCCAGGACCTGGCACATGGCTGGTAGTTAATAAAATGCTTGCTAATCGACTGATTGATTTCTGCTGTGGGTGGAAACAGAAACGAGATATGACATCACAGGAACGAACTTAGGCATTTAGGGGCCTGAACACATAGGTAAATCAGTAAAAACATGGAACAGGGAAAAAAGCAACATTCCAAATAGTCTGCTTAAGAGTTTTGCTTTGTGCCAGCCTGGCTACTAGGGCCAGGAGATCCCTTAAATCAGGGCCACATGTGGCCTTGAGGCGGCAGGTTCCCCACCCCTACGAAACCGTCTACCTTAAGAGAGGTACAAAAGGGACAGTCAGGGAAGGTTCTCATAAGATGCCATAATTTTTCCAATATGATGTTTCCTTGTTTCCTTTGAGCTTGGGGGAAGCCCTGCTCTCAGAAATCATCCAGTTGACTGTCAGAGGACCTGGAAAATGGCTTCTGAGTCAGAGCCACTGGCTTCTCACTGAAACAAGTCCTCTTTATAATTAATAGAACCTTGTCTGAGCACAATTATTTCCTCGAGTTTCATGAAAACTAGAGCTCACTTCACAACAAAGATCTCCAGTGCCTGCCAAGGGCCAGAATCAATAATCCATTGACATGGCGAGTCAACAAGGATGAGTCTAATTGGCAAAGGCCAATCAGGTCAGGTAACAAGAATGAGAGACAACTAAGCATTAGATACATCAGTACTCCTGAGATCCCAAAGGGACCAGAGGAAGGCTCCCAGGCTATCAGGATAGAGAAAGAGAGGCAAGGGTGAATCTTGTCCACAGAGGGGTTCCTCGAATCACAGACCATCAGAGTGCAAAGAACCATCTTCATCAAGCTGGACCTGGGCAGGAATCCTTAGCTACAACATTCCTGACAAATGGTTACTGTTAATTAATAAATGTTCGTTGAATCAGATTGAATAATCAGAATAATTCAGCCTCTGCTTGAAGGCCTTAAGTAATGGGAAAATCACTGAAGTAGCCCATTTCACTTTTGAATACCTATAATCATTTGCATGTTTTCCTTTTTGTTCATCATTTTCAGTTGTGTCCAGTCTTTCATGACCCCATTTGGGGTTTTCTTGGCAAAGATACTAGAGTGGTTTGCCATTTCCTTCTCCAGCTCATTTTACAGATGAGGAAACTGAGGAAAACAGGGTTAAGTGACTTGCCCAGGGTCACACAAGTGTTTGGTCTGAGGCCGACTGTGAACTTAGGTCCTCCTGACTTCAGGGCTGGTGCTCTATCCACTGTGCAACCTAGCTGCCCCATAGATTGAGTACTTGAAGACAATTTTCATGTTTTCTTCTGCTTCTACTCCTCTTCCCCATCCTTCAATTCTCTTCTCTAGGCTGAGAATTCCTAGTTCCTCATGTGGCATGGTCCTCAGTTCCATCACCATTCTGGTGGCCTTCTGGGTACACTCCAGATTGTTAATATCCTTCCTAAAATGTAACATAGGGAAGCTATGTGGTGCAGTGAATACAATGCTGGGCTTGGAGTTGAGAAGACCTGAGTTCAAATGTGGCCTCAGCCACTTACTAGCTATATGACCCTGGGCAAGTCACTTAGTCCTGTTTGCCTCAGTTTCCTCATCTGTAAAATGAACTAGAGAAGGAAATGGCTAACCACTCCAGTATTTTTGCCAAGAGAACACCAAATGGGGTCACGAAGGGTTAGACACAACCGAAATGACTCAATAACAACAAAGCTAACACCCAGAACTAAAATCAATACTCTGGATGTGGCTTAACTAAGCGCACAGTGGGACCATTCCCTCTCTTGTTCTAGATATCATGCTACTGTCAACATGGTATAAGGTTGCCTTAGCGTTTCTGGCTGCCATTTCATGTCAACTGCTGTCTCAAGTTGAGCTCCCAGTACTCTAACATTCCCCGGACCTTTTTCACACAAGCTGTTGTTGGGTAAAAAAGATTTGGGCACTGGAAGCTGAAGTATTATGGGCTGGTGTAGTTGGCTCCCACACTGATGAGATCCTGTTGAATTATCTGAACGAGAGGAGGCAGAAAAATTAATGTGGCACCAAGAAGGAAGTAGCCAGAGCCATTGTAACTCTTCTGTGTGACCTTTAGTCCCAATTGCTAATGGCAGGATAATGCATTCAATGTGGTGGAAGAAATGGATCCCATCTGGAAACTGGGAGTCAGGTGGCCTAGGATCAAGTCCTGTGAATTGAGAATTGTTTAATTTTCTCAAACCTCAGTTTTCTCATCTGTAAAATGACCAGGGCTGGACTAGATAATGGTCAATGTCCTCTTTAGTCTTGGCATTATATGAGTCTAAGGCTTTATTTCATGTGTCATCTCTGGTCTTGGCATCCTCTTTTGGTAAAAATAAAAGGGGGGCATATGATCTGGAAGGTTCAACCCAGCTTTAAAGATGCTATGGCAATACTGGGTGATAGGGAGTCCCCGAGGGCCATGTGCCTTCCCTGGGGAGAGAGGCGGCAATGACCAAAGTTTTTGTGACCATGTAAAGTCCCAGTGTCCCAATCCTAGGCTCACATAAGAGCACTGTCCACTTTCTCAACAGAGCATGTTTGCCTGTTTGGATGTATCTTTTGGGTTTTCCTTTTTGGGAAGGGTGCATATGAATTAGCTAAGGCAGAATATTTTGGGGGAGGAGTAAGAAAATGCCACAGACTGACATTTAGATCAACACAGTGCTTTGCAGGGACAGAAGGTTTAATGCCTAAATAAGGGTAACTTCTGTTTCTATAATATATCACACTTACAAACACACATTCCTTAAAAAAACCCTGTGAGGCTGACAACATAGTATTATTATGGTACCCATTTTACAGATTATGAAACCAAGGCACAGAGAGGGGGAACAGCTTGTTCAAAGTCACACAGCTAGTAACTGGCAGAGATGACATGGGACTCAGGGGCTCTGACAGTATTATATTATCAGCTGTATTATAATACAGCTAAATGTCTGAGACCTTTCAAAACACTGATTCTCCATATCTACAAAAAAGTAAGAAGGGGAAGGAGAGTTTAGAGATAGAGTGTTTCCTCCTTGCTCCGGAAGTGGAAAAAAGGAAATTTTCTGCTTTGAAGATGGTGGTGGGGGGGATATATATAATAAAATGGAATAGAATCTTACAGTGTTAGGACTGGATGGAATCTTAGATCACAGATTGTCAGGACTGGACAAGACCTTAGAACATGGGATGTCAGAGCCTGAAGGGACCTTAGAACATAGAATGTCAGAGCTAAGAGAGGCCTTAGAACACAGAATGTCAGAGCTGAGAGGGGCCTTAGAACACAGAATGTCAGAGCTGAGAGAGGCCTTAGAACACAGAATGTCAGAGCTGGGAGGGACCTTAGAACATGGAATGTCAGGGCTAAGAGAGGCCTTAGAACACAAATGTCAGAGTAGAAGGGACTTTAGAACACAGAATGTCAGAGCTGGGAGAAATCTTAAGATACCACCTAGACCAACAAACTGAGGCCTAGGCAGGGAAAGTTACTTGCCTAAGGTCACACAGGTACTAGTGGCAAAGTTAGGGTTTGAAACCAGGTTCTCTGACTCCAAATTTTATCATGAAGTTTTTGTATCTATTTTCTTTTGATGGAGACAGAATAAGTACCTTCAGGAAACAGTGATCTTGAAATTTAGTTGCTAGGGCTGGAAGAAATAGGACACCCAGCAGCGCTCACAGATTACCTTGCTATTGTCCCACTCCTGGGTTTTCATCTGTGTGTGGATAAGCTCATAGGATGGCTCCATGGAGTCTGTATCAGGCTTGGGATATCCAGGAATCACGTTGTGCAGCTGGAATCCAAAGGTAAGAAGCCAGCTGTTGACATCTGGAATAGGAAAGAAGTCAAAACAACTGAAGGAAATACTTATCCTTGAGAAGTGATTTTCAAGACAATAATACGGATTAAGAAAAAAAAAAGAGTCCAACCTTTAATTATCTAATAACATTAAAAGCTGCCGCTGATAGTCACATGTGTTTTAGGACTCACAAAGTACTTTGCACTTACCTCATCTGATCTTTGCAACAGCTCAATAAGATAGGCAGCATGAAGATGATATTATCCCCATTTTACAGATGGGCAACCTGAGTCTCAGAGAGCTGGACCGTCTTGCCCAAGGGAGCACCACTTCTAAGGGGTAGACTCTGGGATTTGATCTAAGAATATTCCAGCTCCAAGTTGGCACAGGATCCAGGCCTCTCAGAGGCTGGTCATGGGCAAGTGGGCTCTTCTAGTGGCTGTCCATATAGTCCTCATTTTCCAAACTTGGCTGGTAGGGCAGCTTCTTCCTTGATTGCACATTATCTGAAGGCTGCCAGATGGTTCTTGGGGAAATTAAGAAAACAAAACAGAAAAAGCCCCACCAACCCCAGTGTGCCTGGGGCTGAGGACCCATATTTGCAGTTCCAGTTTGGGAAAGGATTCTTCTTGCAGCCACGTGACAGACTCATAGGAAGTGGAGGCAGGTCAAGATAGAGCTGACGACATTTAGAAGGATGATGGGAAATGCACAACTCTCAAACTGCACCTTTAGGGGATAATCTTAAAGCTCATCTTTTTTTTACTGGTGCTTTTCTCTTAGAAGGGCTGGGGATTTTAGGATCAGACACATGATGTAATAAGCCACAGACTCCCTGTGAGTTTAAGTGGGGAATCAGCTGTGGTGGAGAGGCAGGAGGAGTACTGGATGGAGAGTTAGAACTCATGGATCCAAAAAATCCTGGCGCTGCTGCTCAGCTGTGCAACCTTGGGAAAGATGTAATGAGGCCTCAGTCCCTCTCAGCTCTAAATCTTTTGTACAGCAGTGCATGGAAAAAAATTCTCCTTCTGAAACTCAGGAGACCTAGGTTCTAATCCTCGGTCTGCCATTTGGCCAACCTGACTGGCTATGTGACTTTCAGCAAGTTATTTGGCTCCTCTGGGGCTCAGATTCCTCTGATTTTAGTCAGGAGGTTGTATTAATGATGTGTAAGGTATCTTTCAGCTCTCACATTATGTTAATCAGTCTTTTAAGACTCTGTCCAGCTCTTAGGTTCTAAACACCTTTTTGCTCTGAGAGTCTATGTTCTAAGGTTTCTTACAGCTCTAATGTTCTAGGTTCCCTGGATTCTTCCATTTCTAATCTCCTATATTCTAAGTTCTCTTCTATCTCTAATGATGTTTTTTTTGGCCGCTTCCATTTTTATATTCCATGTTCTAAGCTTGCTTCTAGCACTAATATTAGAGGTTTTCTGGCCCTTTCTATTTTTCACTTTCTCTATCCTAAGGTCTCCTCTAGTGCTAAATATTAGAGGTTTTCTGTCCTTTTCCATCTTTAACATTCTATGTTTTACATTCATTTAACTTTCTACAGTCCCTTCCAGAGATCACATTCAGGGATTCTAAGGTTTCAGAGTCTTACTGCTTTTAAGGAAGGGGATGGAGTGAAGAACACATACTACCTAATTTAAGCAATGGCAGCATCCTGCCATCAGTGATTTCAAACTTAACCAATATGGATGACAGAGAAACCAGTTATTTCAGTTTGTAATCCAATAAGGAGTAAAACAAAAGTTATGGCGAGAAATGTCTATTTCAAAACAAACCAAACATGGGTAAGCAAGATGGTGGGAGGACCTGGGACCCAATTATACAGAGACCGGATGAAGGAACTGTGGATGTTTAGCCTGAAGAAAAGAAGACTTAGTGGGGAACATGGTAGTTGTCTTCAAGTATCTGAAAGGCTGCCAGGTTAAAGAGGGATTAGACTTTTCCTGCTTGGCCCTAGGGGGAAAACCGGTAGCAGTGGGTGCGGGTAAAAGGGAGACCAGCTTTGGCTTTGTATAGAGATGTCCCAAAGAGGAATGGGGTGTGCTGTGGGGGGTTATGGATTCCTTAAGCAACGGTGGGATGTTAGGAACGTTCCAGAGAGGATTGGACGCACTGACTTCTGATGTCACAGAATCCTAGGACCTCTGAGTTGGAACAGACTTTAGTCTAATCCATACCTGAACAAGTGTCCCCTAACTTTGAGAACCTTCTAACCCTGAGATTCTAGGATTCCAAGAATCCCAAACACTGAGGACTTGCACCCTCAGCTCATGGAGGCTGATTTCCTAAGGAAGAACCAGGACATCTGGTGAGCATCCTGGCAAGGGTGCTCCCTCCCTCCTAAGAGAAATATCCTCCATGGATTGAGGCCTAGGGTGGGCAGAGACCAGACTAGCCCATTCTGACATGTGGCCACAGTGTGGGATTCTTATATACTCAGGTAAGGGAAGGATCAGGGGGCACCTCAGAAGCTGAGAAAAATGGGATCAGATTCTTACCCAAGAAGCAGGGGACCCTAGTATTGGAAGGGACCTTAGAGTTCATTTTGATCAACTCTCATTTCACAGATAAGAAAACTGAAGTCCAGGGAGGTTGTCTCCCCTAAGGTCACACACTAAATCAGTGATAGAATCAAAACTAAAAAAAATGATGGTGATAAGCATTTATACTATATAGGTTTGCAAAGTACTTTACAAATATTATCTCATTTGATCCTTATGACAATCATGGGAGGTAAGTGCTTTTATTATCCCCATATTACAGATGAGGAAACTGAGGCAGATGATGGTTTAGTGACTTGCCCAGGGTCATACAGCTAGTGTCTGGGGATGGATTTGAACTCAGGGCTTCATGACTTTAGGTCCAGTGTTTTACCCACTAGACTACTTAGCTGCTCAGATGTCCCTGAATTACATGGCTCTTTACACCACAGCACACCCTGAAGAATCTACTTTCTCTGTAGAAAATATATTTTTATTAAACGGTCAAGGGACATTTTGTGTGTGTGTGTGTGTGTGTGTGTGTGTGTGTGTGTGTGTGTGTGTGTAGGGGGAAGGCTGGTGAGGAGAGAAAGGGAAAAAGAGACTAATTTATTTGCCAAGAGGCAGTGACAACTTTTTTTTCCTTTCCTCTGACAGAAAAGTACATTTCATATCACATTGAGGGTTTTTTTCCAGCTACAGTAACCTGCCAACACATTTCACAGTAAACTCATTTGAGGGCATGGCAAGAGGAGTGCTTAATGCAGACGGATGTAATGGAAATGTCAGCTCCATCCATCAGGTTTTTCCAAGGCTGGCAGCAAAGCTTCCCACCATGAAGTGTACAATTGCTAAAATATTCATGTTTAACAACAGGCCCTTCAAAAGTAACGACCTTTTCGTCTCTCCTCCCCTTCCCCTCCTCCTGCTCCTTTTTCTTCTCATGGGGCACAGGACGTGAGACCCAGGAGGGCCTGAAGATGCAGAATAGATCAGAGCTGGGAGGGTTCTTAGAACATGGAATGTCATGACTAATGAAGAGATATGCTGAATATGACTGCACACGTATCGTCGTCTTGGGGAGGCAGGAAGGGAGGGAGGGAGGAAAAAGTCTGGAACTCAAAATCTTAAAAAAAGTGAATGTTGAAAACTTTCTTTACATATAATTGGAAAAAATTCTATTAAAAAAAAGAAAGCAGAATGTCAGAGCTGGAAGGGCCTTAGAACACAGAACGTCAGAGCTGGGAGGTGCCTTAGAACACGGAATGTCAGAGCTGGGAGGGACTCTAGAATAGACTAGAAGAAAGAAAGGAAACAAAGTATTTCTTAAGCACCTATTATAGGCCAGGCACTGGAGTAAGCACTTCACAACTATCTAATTTTCTTCTCACAACAACCCTGGGGAGAATTATCCCCATTTTACAGTTGAGAAGACTGAGGTAGAGGAAAGTTAAGTGACTTGTCCAGGGTCACATGGCTGGTAAGTATCTGAGGCCAGATTTGAGCTCTTCCTGACTCCAGGCCCAGTGCTTGGTGCACTATGGCTCCACCTAGCTTACTACAGCATTATTATAACACAATATAAAATGTGAGAGCTGGAAAGGACCAAGAAGACAGAATGTTATATAATAGAATTTTAGAGATGGAAGTGACCACAGAGATCATCTAATCAGACCTTCTTCATTTTTCACAAGAGGAAACTGAAGCCCTGAGAAATGAAATGATTTGTCTAGAGGCAGCGAGGTGGCACAGTGCATAGAGCGCCAGGCAAGTTGCTTAAGCTCTGTTTTAGTCTCCTCACCTATAAAATGGGGATAATAACATATTATTAAATTATTAAACCTCTTAGGATTGCGGAGGGAATAAAATGAGTTAATGTTTGCAAAGCACTTTGCAAACCTTAAGGTGCTATACAAATGTTAGTTATAATTATTATTATTTTGTCACAGAGCTAGCTGATAGTGGGGATCCCTTAAAAAGGGATCTTAGGACTCAGACAGATGCAGTCTGACTCTGCTGAAAAGTATTTTCAGAGCACTTTGAGTTCCATCGAGAACTACGAGTTCCACTCATAGAGGCACCATCTTATGAGTCACTTAGTGAGAGAGAGAAACAAATGAAAAACTCACCCGTCATGTAGCACTTGATATCCTGAGAGTTGCTGATGGGGTTGTTGTTTTTAAACATATAGAGGTTGAAGGGCATGATATTGTTGCTCCTGAGGCGCTTCCACATGTCATGGTCTGGGCTGGTCCACCGACCGGCCAGCACATCGTAATCTCTCTTTCCCATGTGGATGAGCTTGGTGAGTGGATCATAGAGGCCCCCATGGTAGCCAATGATGACCTGGAAGTTCGGGTTGGTGTCCATGTAGATCTCCCCGTAAGCAGTGTACAAGATCTGCTTGATCATCAAGCCGGTCCCGCTGAATACCGCCAGTGGGGTCCCGATGTTGTCACAGGCGATGTAGAATTCATCTCCACTGCTGAGCTCCATGGCAAACAGGTGACCCTGGAGGTCATAGTAGAGGGATGCGATCTCCGAGCTGGAATGGTTGTATAAATGGGTGACCTTGGTGGGGTTGGTCAGATCTGCGTAGAAGAACTGGAGGTGGTGGCCATGGCTCGTCTTGCTGGACACCCTCCTCCCCAGCCCATCGTAGCGGTACCTCACGCTCCATCCGCTAGCCCGGTTGTACGCCTTAATGAGCAGGCCTGCCGAGTTATACTCAAACACATCGCTGCCCCTCTGCCTCAGGAAGCCGTCTTCATCCATCTTGTACTGGACATCACCCAGCCTGGTGATCCGATCTCTGAGGTCATACCTTAGCGGGGTGAGGCGGGCGCTGTTCCCGGGGCTCAGCAGGTGCAGGTTCCCGTTGAGGTCGTAGCTGTAGCGCCAGAGGGGCTTGTCATTGATCGACACTGTCTGGAGCTGTCCGTCAGCGTCATACTCATAGGAGTAGCGAGTAGTGTTGGCATACGGCCCCACCTTCAGCTCCTTCTTCACCACCCGTCCCATATTGTCATACTGCACGGTCATCCAGTACATGAGGGACCGGAATATCTCATACTGGACCTCTTTCATCCTCCCGTACGCGTCAAAGTGCTTGGTGTGGGTCATGACCGCGTGGTGATGATCTGGTTAATGTCATAGTAAATGACCCCAAACTTGCCAAACTGCTCGGTCTTTCCTGACACATCATCATAGCGGTAGAGGTCAATGGGCAGTGGGGTCTCATTGATCACAGCCTGCATGCTCGTCACCCGGAAGCTGTTGTCATAGTTGTAGTCAAAGCGGGCGTTCACCATCCCTTCCTCTGTGAACCGGAAGATCTGGCGGTCAATCAGGGGACCGATTTGCCGGTAGCGGATGGTACACGTGAACCCTTCATTCTGTAAGTTGATAGTCTTGAGCATGCCCGCTGTCTCGTCGTAAGTGAAGCCAATCTTCGTGGTGTCATACAGCATCTCGGCCAGCTTCGACAGCTTCCCATATTTATAGATCACCCTCCGGCCTGTGCCCAAATAAAAGGTGTGGAGGAGGTGCCCGTCCTCGGTGAAGTCTTGGATGACTGAGGCGTTGCCCTCGGGGGGCCGGTAGACATTACGATAGTAACCGATGGAACGGATGGTTTCCAGAGTCTGCCGGGCCACGTTGGGCATGGTCACGGAGGACAGGCGGTCATTCTTGTCAAATTCAAAGATGTATTGTCGTTGGCTGTGAAGAAGCAACACCATGGACTGGAGAAGAAGAAAGGAAAACAGGGTGAGAAAGAGGAGGAAGGGGGTGATTACAAGAGAGAACCTAGATCTTATTTTTTCTACCCTTAACTTCACTTTCCATGCTTTCACATACCCTCAGGCCTAGGCAGACTACAGTCTGCGCTCTCCCTCCCTGGCCACGCTCTGTGCATTCTCACCGTTATGGCTTTATTCATGTTCTTACCTATGTCCTTCCTCTCCCCCTTTACCTGCTGAACTTCTATTGATGCTTTAAACTTTAATTCACATGGACTCTCCCGATTCCCCTAGTGGCAATAACCTTCCCATTAGTTTCTGAGGTCCCTTTCAACTCTACATTTATGAGTCTATGGTCCCTGGTCCCCTCTGGCACCACATAACACTTCATTTTGTACTTCTCTAGCATGTTTATGTTACATTATAGTTGTGTGTGTTGGTGTCTTATCTGCCTACTGGGCTGTGAGTAACATGAGGCAGTGAGCATGCCTCATCTAATTTTTTTTTTAATCTAGCTGACTACCTAGTACAACATTCTGCACAAAGTAGGTATTTAACAAATGTTTGTTGAATGAACGAATGAAAGAAAATTTAATGCTACCTCTTCTAGGAAGCCTGCCACGATGTCTCCCCTCGGTAATGAGCCTTTCATGTTCAGACTGCACCTAGTTCTCCGCTTGTGCCTCTCTAATAAATCTGTCATATCAGATTGTGATATGAAATACAAACCCATGTTTGTATTTCAGTTTGTATTTCATAGCAAGTGCTATGAAAGCAGGCTCTCTGTCTTGGCTAAACTTTATACTTCATCCACGGGCCAGCACAGTGCTCTAGACACATTCGGCATCCGATAAATGTTTTCTGAAAGAATATTGGTATCAACCAACAATCCATGTGGTCTCCTAAGTCAAATTGTACCAAGACAAATTCCCAAAGAGAAGCAAAGTACAAGGGGAAAGATACAGCAGAGTGCCCAGGATAGGCTATCCATGTGTGAGCAAAGAAAAATTGCCTCCCCCAGTCCCTAGTGATTCTCAGTTCTCTCCTTCCATTAAAATACAGAAAAGCACATTCTTTCCCATTCCCCCATGAGTAAATCACAGAATTAAAAACTCTCTAAGTTGGAAGAGAGCTCATCCTCTTGGTAGGGAATTGCTCTACAGGGTCCCCACCAACAGTCCTCCAGCCCCAGCCTGGACACCTCTAGTTCTCTCTGTGACCCCCCCCCCTTACAAATCAAAACTGGACTCCAAATCTAGCTCTCTGTGCTGCCCAGGTTGCATTGAGAGAGCACATGCCACTGAACAAGAGCTGTGGCCCACAGGAAGTTTTTCCTTACAAAGCGTTAAAATCTGCTTCCCCGGAAGTCTCCTTTCTGCCCCAAGGGTTTGAAATTCTGAAGGTGATACTACTGTCAGCCATGGATGGTGATTCTTGCTCTCGAAGATTCTCAAGGCTTAAAAGGTTGCTTCTTTTTCAGTGGCCCCAGATGAAGCCTCTTGGGAGATGTACCCGTGCTTCTCTGAGAGGTTCACCTGGATTTGGCTTTTTTGACACAAGCTCTAAGGGATTTGGCACAGCAGATAGAGTGCTGGTCTTGGAGTTAGGAGGACCTGAGTTCAAATCCACGCTCAGAAACTTTCTAGTCAGAAAGACTCATCTTCCTGAGTTCAAATCCAGCCTCAGACACTTACTATCTGTGGGACCCTGGGCAAGTCATTTAACTCTGCCTCAGTTTCTTCATCTGTAAAATGAGCTAGAGAAGGAAATGGAAAACCACTCCAGCATTTTTGCCCCCCAGAACCCTAAAACAGATCACAAAGAGTTGCACATGACTGAAAATAACTAAATAACAATGACTACTAAGACAGAATGGGCTCATATATAGATAGTTTTTCTAAACCAACATCAATAAAATTTTTTTTTCTCTGACAAGGACAGTTAAATTTGTGGAGGACTCCTCATTTTTGCAATTTCTCTCCTTTTCAAAACTCTCCTAGCCTTCTGCTTGGTTCTCTCCTTTGCAGCTCTCATTCTCAAGTTTATACCATACCCACCTAGTCTGGGCTGGGGAACGTGTGGCCTCGAGGCCTTTGATTCAGTCACGGCTGCACTTGAGGACCTAGAGGGTCACATGTGGCCTCGAGGATGCAGGCTGCCCCCTCCCTTGGCCTAGTCCATAACTCACCTCCCAACCCCAAAGCACTGAACCTAAGCACTGAAAGGGCTGAGACTGGGTCTTATTTCACTGCTGTGTCTCCCACAGTGTCCAACACAGAGCTGGGCTGTGCACGGAGCAGGTGCCCCAGAAACAATGATAATCACTATCACCAACACAATAATTCATTTGTAGAGTGACTGGAAGTTTGCAGAGTGTTTTTTTTTCACCATAACACCACGAAGCAGGTAGTATAACTATTCTTATTATTGTTATTATTCCCATTTTATAGATGAGGAAGCTGGAGACCATTGATGCGAAGTGATTTGTCCAAGGTCACACAGATCATTAATGATCAGGGCCACATTTTGAACCCAGACGTCCCAAGCCCAATGCTCTTTTATTAATTGGTAATACACCTGAAGGAGTACCAAAGCGAAATTGCTCATATTTCAATTGCTCTTTAAGGTTCGCAAAATATTTTCTTCCCAACAACCCTACAAAGTAGGCAGCAGAAATATTACCAAATGAGATGATAAATGTAACAGTCTTCTGCAAACCCTAAAGTGATATACAAGTACTAGCTATTCCAGATAAGAAAACCAAGACTTAGACAAGTTAAGTGACTGGCTCCTGATCACATAAGCTTTTGTTAAGCATTTTTCAGTCATGTCTGACTCTTCATGACCACTTTTGTTATTTTCTTGGCAAAGGTAATGAGTAGTTTGCCATTTTTTTTCTAGCTCATTTGACAGATGAGGAAACTGAGGCAAACAGAGTTAAGTGACTTGCCCAGGGTCACACAGCTAGCATGTGTCTGAGGCCAGATTTGAACTCAGGAAGATGAATGTTCCTGACTATAGGCCCGGCACTCCATCTGCTGCGCCACGATCTAGGAAGTATCAGAGCTGGGATTTGGACCCGGGCGCACTTTCCTCTGAACCACAACTTCTGCAAAGCATGCCCCAGTCATCAGACTGGCCTAAGAGCCTCCCCAGAAGAGGTCAGTGAAGAAGACCCTTGCCTTCTCTAGGTAAGTGTAGCTCCAGGACTTCCCGTCGGCAAAGATCCTGGATGTGATACGGCCCGCCTGGTCATACTCCATCCTTTCTGACATGGTGCCCCGCTGGATGCCGGCGATGTGGCCGCCTGGGGAGTAGGTCACGTTGACGCCATTCAGCCTGCTGCTGGGGGACCAGAGACTGGGCCTTCCAGCCTGGTCATACAGGATCCGAAGTGTAAACTTCCGGTGGTCATCGTAGATCTTCTCTGTCCGAGTCACTCGATCAAAGTCCAGGGACAGGAGGTTTCGGTTGTGAACCTGAAGAAATGGTAGAGAGAGAAATCAGTGTGGATCCCAATTCCCAGACGGTTAATCTAGAGAGGATCTTAGAACATGGCACGTTAGAGACTTAGAATATAGAATATAACAACATAGGACACAGGCAGAAGGGACCTTAAAAATAGAATGCTAGCCAGTCCGTGTGGGCCTTAGAATCAGGAAGATCTAAGTTTGACTCCAGCCTCACACATATATTAGCTGTGTGACCCTGGCAAGTCACTTAACCTTTCTTAGACTCAGTTTTCTCATCTGTAAAATGGGGATAATAGTAGCTATCTCAGGGTAGTTGCGAGGACCAAATAAGTTAACCTGTATAAAGAGCTTTGCAAACCTTCAAGCGATAAATAAATCTCAGCTCTGATAACCAGAATAATGACAATGATGATTAGGACATCAGAAGAGGAATGGCCACCCGGATAGATACCTTCATTTCACAGAAGGAGAAACAGCGACCCAGAAAGGAGAGGTCACATAGGCAGGCTATAGAAGAGCTGGGATATAAACTCTGGTCTTCTGACTGCATGCCTAGCACCCTTTGTACAGCATTGAGGGTTTAAGTTCCCTAGTATCTTTAGGGTTGAAGTCATGTCATGAAGGAAGGGACCCTAGACTTATAAAATAATAGCATTCTGGGGCTTCTGGGGACCTTAGAGGACTTGCCTCCATGGCCTTCATTTTATGTAGGAGGAAAGGTCAGAGGGTTCAAGTGACTTGACCAATGTCCCACAGCAATTTAATGACTGAACTGGAACTCGAACCAGCCCTCTCGCTTTGTAGCCCAATATTCTTCTAGGATACAGTTATGCATTACTCTATGTTTCTATGGCATGTTCTAGTTTACAAGGAGTGCTGGGGTAGATAGTGCAAAGATTATTACCCCCATTTTCAGCTGAGAAAGCTGAGTTTAATGGAGGCTCATGATTTCTGCGAGGTCTTAAGGCTGGTAAAGAGTAAAACCTAAATTCAGATCGATCATGGGATTCCAAAGCCCAGTACTCTTTAGAACATTCTCGTCCCCTCAATAGGGAGCTTACGAAACAGTTATCAAAGAATCAGGCGCTAATATGAGGGAAAGAAAATGAGCCAGAAGGCTGCATGTATCCAGCTGGGAAATTCTAAACAGGCCCCAGTGTTTAAGCTACAGGGCCCTGTGCAATATGTCACTGGCGGCACAGGCTGATACCTATGGGGTTAGTCAGAAATATAGAAATAGGATGCAAAATTCCACTTCTTTATTAAAATCTGAAAGCTGTGATTTACTGCTATTCCTTTGGGATCCCCTGCTTTTTTGGCTTTCAAAGGAAACTGAATTGCATGCTGGGGCAATGTTCTGGAAGGGATTGGACTGCTCCAATCATATGCTGATCTTGGGGACTTGGCTGCTCCTCAGTGTCTGTGCCAGGCAATGACTGGAAGGACCATCCCTAGTGACCTCTCCAAGATCCCTTTGGGGATGCTCCTCAAAGAAATGGATGGGAAGACATCAATAGGGGACTGCCAATGACAGCTCCCATTTCTCCAGTGCATTAAGCTTGCAAATTGTCTCTCACAACAAATCTGGGAAGGCAGGTTATGTAATCATTACTATACCCATTTTACAGACAAGGAAGGTGACCCAGAAAAGCAAAAAACATATACAGAGGAAGGAGTCAGGATTCAAACCCAAGTTTCCTGACTCCAAGTCTTGTGCTTTATCTGAGATACCATGCTTTCTACTAATTAAATGAGATTGTCTGGCCATGGCAGCTTTAGAAAGCCATGTACTAAGAGATGGGAAGTTTGCAGTGTGCGGTAGTGAAAGTGCCCACAGTTAGAAAAAAAAAATCACAGATCTTTCAAGAAAGGCCTGATTTTAAATAAAAATTCTGCCTTTTCCACCATGTCTAGAGGTTCCTTTGAGCTCTAGAAGTCTCTGACTTCTAGAGTTACTGACTATAAGGAAGACAAGTGAGAAAAATCCAAGAGACCCCAGAGCTCTGATTTCTCTCACTTGATTAGCAAAATGGTCATAGGACATCTCATGTACACTCTCACCACTAGAACGGTTTTTTTTTGTCAGAATAATTTTTATCATAGGTCAATCTGGTTTCTCTCAATTAAAAGTCTTTAGCATCTTCTTATTTCTTACCAAGTAAAAGTAAATTTCTTTGCCTGGTATTCAAAGCCTCTGAACGCCAATAGCCTCACCCTAACTTTCTCATGTGACCCAAAGGAAAGAACACTGGACTTGAAATAAGGAATATCTGGCTTCAAATCCTGTTTCAGATACTAGTAGCTGAGTAATCCTAGGACAAATCACTTCTCAGCCTCAGTCTCCTTATCTGTAAAATGAGGATAATACCTACACCAATTAACAGCTAGCATTAGTTATTATTATCACTAGCTAATAATAATAGCTAGCATTAGATTATTATAAGCTGATAATAATATTATTATTATCTAGGACCAGCTATTATTAATTATTATCCTTAGCTAATAATAGCTAGTACTAGCTGTTATGATTACCATTAGCTAATAATAACAACTAGCATTTATACAGCAATTTATAAATATTAACTCATCATATTTCTTCAACACTCTTGGGAGATAGGCGCTATTATTATTTTTACAGATAAGGAAACTGAGGCAGCAACTTGCCAAAGATCACACAGCTAGCGTCTGAGGGCAGAACAGAACTCATGTCTTTCTGACTCCAGGCCCAGTGCACTATCCGCTGTGCCACCTAGTCTTCAAATGAGATAATGATTGTAAACTACTCGGTACAGAGCCTGCCATGTAGTGGGTGCTATATAAATATATATAGTCATAATTATAGTCATATATATGAGACTGTACATATATATATGTATACATAAAATACATAAACATATATGTACATATGTATGCGTAAAATATAGTCACAATTATTATTTTTGGTATTTGTCCTGAGGATTGCTAAAGATAAGAAGCTACCTTTTACCCCTAAGAATTCTGGGACTCCCAAGGGACTTTAGAGATTATCTATTCTAACCCTCTCATTTTAAAAATAAGGAAACTGAGGCTTGAAGAGAAATATCCTTGGTCTAAGGTCACCACAACACTATTAAGTATTGAAACCATGGCTTAAACCCAGGCCTTTTAACTCCAAGCCAATGCTCTTTCTACTACACTCTGTTGCCTTAAAAAAAAGTCTAATTAATAGTGATAAATTACACCACATGACCTCAAAGGAGCAAGACAAGTGTCAGGCTGAATTGTTTTTTGGCTGGCTTGAGTACAGAAGGCAGATCTGGACACAGATAGTAATACTTGGTTTCCCACCATAGTCCATCTCTTAAGCCATTTCAATCCTTCTTGGTGGGAAAACAGGTTTTAAAAGAGTCCCTTCTAAGACCTTGTTCTGAATGCTGAGGACTTTATGCAACTCTCTACCCGTTTAAAAGAGGGGCTCTTTGGAATCCCAGAAGAATACACTAAACCTTTCCCAATTTGCTAATCTTCCCCTCTTCCCTCTGAGTCCTCCAACTTAGAAAAATGGCAGAGGAACAGCTCTAAGCAGGCAAAGATGTGTGTGTGTGGCACGCCCCCCCCCCCCAACCCGACTCATTCCCACCCCAAGCTCTGCCTGTCCAAGTTACAAAGCCCTGAAAATGAGGATTTATAATGAAAATGCTGAGACAAGCCTAACTGTAGAGACCAGGATGGCACGGCTGTAATAAGGCTGTCTTCTCAGGGGTAATCAGACACAATTGTGGAGATAAAAAATATCGTAGCATAGAATTTCCATGAGGCATAAGTATTGATGCTGAGAACACAGGAGGCAGGGGCTGGGCTCCTGGTGGAAACACTGAGAATGCTGGGTGGGGAGGGACAGCTTCCATTAGTGTAGGGGACCATTAGCTGTGTCATCCTTCAAGACTCTTCAGTAATGTCCAGCCCTGACTGCCCACTGCTTTGGAGATGAGGGAGGGAGTGGTTATCTCTTAGCTGGGGCTCTTGCAAGACTGTGTGTCAGCTCTGTGGCTGAATAAATAAAACTGAATTAAGCAGATAGCTTGGGAACCATGCTGGCAGCAGAGAGATTATTTTACATCCTTCTTTATTAAAAAGTTCCTGCCTGTAAAAAATGAGTTACGTTATTGGGAGGGCTGCCCCCTCACCTACCCCCAATAATGTTTTAATTTCAGACAGTATTCTAGTGGCTATGCGTTTCTAGCCAACTTAGAATCACAGGAGCTGGAAGGAATCTTAAAGACCATCTGATTGAAAACCCCATCAAAAGCATGAATGGTTACTGTAACAAAGACAACACCAATATTGATAAGAATAACAACAATTCACATTCCTATGGCACTCACAGTTTTTACAAAGTGCCTTCTGCACCAATCTTATTAAGGAGGAAAAGCATTAGAATTCCTTTTTATGGATAAGGAAACTGAGGCTCAGGGAAAGTATCGTTCCTTCCCCTAGGCTGCACAGCTATTACATGTTGGAGCCAAAGCCAACCCTTCCTCTTGTACCTTGATCATGGCTCCTACTCTGGGGATTTGTCCCAACAATCATCCCCTCACCTACAATCCTTCCCTGATTCCTATTCCCAACAAAAATGCTCATATCTCCTCTATATTGAGAAAACAAAAACAAGTCCTTTCTTTGATTTTCATCCTCTCCAATTGTGCTCCTAATCCTTTCCTCTTTTTAACTGATAAACTCCTAAAAAAAATTACTACCTCTAGATGACTTTAGTGTCTCACCTCCCAATTCTCTTCTCAATTCCTTGCAATCTGGCTCCTTGACTGAAACGACTTTTTTTTTTTTTGGCAATTGAGGTTAAGTGACTTGCCTAGGGTCACACAGCTAGTAAGCATCAAGGTCTCAGGCCAGATTTGAACTCAGGTCCTCCTGACTTTAGGGCTGGTGCTCTATCCACTGCACTACCTAGCTGCCTTTTTTCTTTTTAGGCAATTGGGGTAAGTGACTTGCCCAGGGTCACACAGCTAGTAAGTATCAAGTGTTTGGTCTGAGGCTGGATTTGAACTCAGGTCCTTCTGATTTCAGGGCCGGTGCTCTATCTACTGCACCACTTAGCTGCCCCTGAAGTGACTTTCTCAAAGGTTACCAATGATGCTGGAAAGAGAACGAGATGTAATACGTTAACTCTCTGGGCCTCAGTTTTCTCATCTGTAAAATGGGGAGGGGACTGGACTAGATGACCTTTCATTTCTCTTCCAGATAAATTTATGATCCTTTAGGATTACTTAAACCTCTTCTCAGTGTTCATTTTGGTTGACCTTTTGTTGCATTTGATACCACTAGGCAGTCTGTCCTCTCTTGTACTCTGGGATCCTCCTCTCTTCTCATTTTCCTTCTGCATATTAGGTCACTCCTTCTCAGTCTCCTTCATTGGTTTGTTATCTCCTGCTCCCTAAGCCTTGGCATCCTCTCAGCCAATGTCCCAGGCTACCTTCCTGTCTGCCTCTACACCCTTTCCCATGGATCTAATTATCTCCTCTGAACAGATGACCCCCAAATCTATACCTTCAGCCCTCAACCATCTCCTGGACTATATCCTGGCATCTGTAGTTACCTGCCTGAGATCCCACTCAAAATGTTCTGCCACCACGTGGAACTCAAAGTGCTCAAAACAGAACTTCACCAGGGTACAGCCCTAAATGTGTCTCTCTTTTGGCTCAATATTGACTATCTCCAATTTATTCTGTTTATATCACGCTTGTACATTGTGGTTTTTTTTTTTTGGCAGGTTGTCTCTCCCCTTATTAGCTTGTAAACTTCTTGAGAGCGAGGGTTTTTTTTTTTAAAGGCAACTGGGGTTAAGTGACTTGCCCAGGGTCACACAGCTAGTAAGTGTCAAGCATTTGGTCTGAGGTCAAATTTGAACTCAGGTCCTCCTGACTTCAGGGCCGGTGCTCTATCCACTGCGCCACCTAGCTGCCCACAAGGGTTGTTTTTCACTTCTCTTTATATCCCCAGCATTTAATTCAGTATCTGGTGCAAAGCAGGTACTTAATAACAGTTTACTGACTGACTGGATATGACTGTTCTTAGGAAAATCCAAGATTATGCACCCTTCAGAGGCAGGGGTTCTTATCCTTTTTTTGTCCCATGGACCCCTTTTAGCACACCAAAGGATAAGCCTACGGACTTATCAGAATCATATTTTTAAATGCACAAAATCAAAAATGTAGAATGACAAAGGAAACCAAATGTAATGAAACAGAGTTATAAAAAATATTTTTTAAAAAAAACTCACTGACCTCAGATCACATGGTCTGGAAGAAAGAAACCTGGATTTGTTGTCAGAGAACCTGAGTTCATCCTTGTTCCAAAACTTGCCACATGTGTGACCAGTCACTTGATTAGGTCACTTAATATAATAACAGTAATAATAAATAATCACGTAATTATTGATGACTAATTCATCAATAGTTACTATATAACAACTAATAACAATAATAGCTAGAGTTTGTATAGCATTTTAAGAATTGCAAAATGCTTTATATGTAATATCTCATTTAATCTTCCCAACAACCCTGAGAAGAGGGTGCTATTATAATCCTCATTTTACAAAATAGGAAACTGAGGCAGAAAGAGGTTAAGACACTTGCCCAGGGTCACACAGCAAGTAAGCGCCTATGGCTGGATTCAAATTTAGGCCACTCTGATTCTAACTCTGGCCCTCTATACACTGCACTACTTTTCTGGCCCTTATTTTCCTCATCTGCAAAATGAACAGTCTGAACTAGATGGTCTTAAAGGATCCACTTGCTTACCCGTAGCCGGCGTCCGAAGACAGTGACCTGACCCCTGGCCTGCTCTTTGCGCTGTCTCCATTCCACAAGGTTGAGCCCATTGTCGATGGGCAGGGTCACGTTCCTCTTGCCCACTGTGGGGTTGACGGTGCCAGCCAGAAGGTGGGGCTCAGTCTGTAAGGCCACTTCCATCCCATTGGCCAGCATCAACCTCAGGGAGCCATCAGCACCTAGGTAGTAGCTATTTCGCACTTGGTCTGTGGGAAGAGCAGAGACAGTGAAGCTCTATTAAAACAGGTAGCATGGGGCAGCACGTGGCAGGTGGGTGCTTTCTTTAAACAAACTGGAGAATTGTTCTAATAGCTACCCAATAATTAATCAACCAATCAACATGTAGCAATGAAGTATAATGGAAAGAACACTGGACTGGGCCCACACACACTGGGGTTCTAGCCCTGGTCCTGCCACTCATTTGCTGTGTAACAACACATTTAATAACTAGCATTTATATAATACTTTAAGGTTTGCAAAGTGCTTTACAGATCTTACCTCATTTGAGCCTCACTATAATTTTAGAAGGAAGGTACTATTATCATCCACATTCTACAGATGGGAAAACTAAAGCAAACAGAGATTAAGTGACTTGTCCAGAGTCACACAGTAAGCTTCTGAGTCAGAATCTGAATTCAGGTTTTCCTTACTCCAGGTCCCATTGAGTCTTGGGCAAATCACTTTAATCCTCTAGGCTTCAGTTTCTTATCTGTCAGACAAGGGATTTGGGCTAGGATAGGAGTTTTTAACCTTTTTTGTGTTATGGACACCTTTAGCAGTCAGGTGAAGCCTAGGGACTTCTCAGAATAATGTTAAGTGCAAAAATAAAATACACAGGATTAAAAAGAAAACCAGTTATATTGGCATATAATTATTGAAATATCAACAAAAACAAGTTTCATAGACCATAGGTTAAGAACTCCTGGGCTTAATGAGCTTGGAGGGTCCTTCTGGTTCTAACTTAAGCAGTAATGTATATAGACAGATAAAAATATACACACATAGATTATATGGATATATTGCTGCTCAGTCTTTTTTTAGTCATGTCCGACTCTTCATGACTCCATTTGGGGTTTTCTTGTCAAAGATACTGGAGTGGTTTGCCATTTCTTTCTCCAGCTCATTTTACAGATAAACTGAGTGACTTGCTCAGGGTCACACAGCTAGTAAATGTCTGAGGCCAAATTCGAACTCAGGTCTTCCTGATTCCAGGCCCAATATTCTATCTCCACTGTGCCACCTAGGTGCCTTTGTGTGTGTGCACATATATAGATGTGTATGGATATGCATATGTATAGATATGTGCATATGTATTTATATACATGTAGTAACTAATATATACATATGTGTATACACATACACACATATATGGAAGGAGTTTTGCAAACCTGAAAGTGATATACATATATACACATATCACTTTCAGGTTTGCAAAACTCATTCCTTACAACTTATAAAATAGATAGTAATGGTAGTAGTATCATCCTCATTTTACAGGCTTTGAGAAATTAAGTCATTTGCCAGTAGCCATGTACCTCGCAAATGTGTGAAGCAAGATTTAATCTGAGATTCCCGATTCTAGGTCCGGTACTCTATCATATTATCCTTCCTCTCAGATCATTTCCTCCTGGTCCCTTCCAGCTCTAATATTTTGTATTCAGTGTTCTAAAATTCTATGTCTCACATTTAATGTTTGAACATTCTATGGTCAAAAGTTCCCCCCGGCTCCAAATTCCTATTTTCTGTGTTCTTGTATTCTGTGCTCTAAAATTCTATGTCCTACATTTAACGATTGAACATTTTATGGTCAAAGGTTCCTACTGGCTCCAAATTCTCTTTTCTGTGTTCTTCTATTCTGTGTTCTAAGTATGATTTCAGATCTGACATTCTATGATTTGTTTACTGAGGACCTACTCTATATTCATCACTATTTGAGACCCCCATCATAGGTAGATGATGGATAAAAATAAATAATAAAACATATTTTCAACATTTTCATCAGAATTTAAAATTTTAGTTTGAATGACTATTAACCTACTTTCCGTAAAGAGGCCCATGGAAAGACAGGTTGAAAAAAAAAACCCCAAAACAATAAAACAAAACAAAAAACAACCAATCACAGCTTTAAAAGACTTATTAGGTACCATCTTAAAAGGGAAACCTACTTACTACTCATTATTAGTGATATGATGACAAGAATATCCTTTTTCCTAAAAAAATGTGATTAAATTGTGTCTTTTCTCATCAGTCACTTAAATTATAGAGTCACCAATTCAAAGCTGGAAAGCAACCTTAGAGTTTCCATAGGCCAACTCCCTTATTTTATAGGTAAGGAAAATAAGGCAGGGAGGGGTAAAGAACCTTGCCCCAACACACAGTTAACAAGTAGCAGAGAAGAATTTCAAATCCAGGGCTTTGTGACTTCAAGCCCAGTGGTCTGTGCTCCAGATTCATCTCATGATCTCACCAAAGGTACCATGGTGTGAGAAGGCAGTGTGGTGAGGGTAAAAGAAGGTAAAACTTTACACTCCTGAGCATGGAGGTAGCTGTAGTCAAGACAGGTTTTGAAGAACAAGCTAAGTTACCAGAATTAATGGAAAACCTGGGGTCAGAAGACCTAGGATTGCTCATATCTTGCCACCTTCTGACTGTGGACAGGTCATGGCACTTCACTGAGCTTCTGTTTACCCATATGTAAAATGGGAATATTGTGAGGATCATGTTAAATAATGGATCTGAAAAGTACTTCATAAACTGTGAAGGGCTTTATTAACTGTAGGGATGAAAAACATAATGTTAGGGCATTAGTACTTAGGGTCAGGAAGACATAGGCTCAAATCCAGCCTCAGATAACTTATTACTACCATTAATAGCTAGCATTTTTACAGTACCTAATACACGTGAGGCACTGTGCTAAGCATTTTACAAATATTATCTTATTTGATCCTCACAGGAACCCTGGGAGGTAGGTGCTGTTATCATTCCCATTTTGCTAACTAGGAAACTGAGACAGAGAAAGGTTAAGTGATTTGCCCAGGGTCACCCAGCTAGTAAGTGTCTGAGGTCACGTCTGAATTCAGGTCCAAGGCTTCACTAGCTGTGTGACCCTGGGTAACTCCTTTAACCTCTCTGGGCTTCAATTTCCTCACCTGTAGAATGAAGCGGTTGGACTCAATGGCCTTTCTGGCTCTCTATCTATGAACCTATGATAACAGCATTTTAATAATAAAATTATACACCTTAAATCAGAAGCCTTTTTCTCTGGGCTCCTCCAAAGGCACAAATGAACTTTCTTCTAAGCAGCAAGGGAGACTCCTCCAAAGCCAAACCCCTTTCATAATTAGGGGAGCTCTTTCCTATTCCCTCTGCTGCTCCCTGTCTGCATCTGTGTGAAAGTGTCTTTAATCTGGAAGCCATTAGAAAGGCAGAGTAATGAAGTCAGCTGCATTAGGAGCTAACAGATGCTTCAGCCTTTGTTCAGATGAGAATAGAACATGACAATACCACCTGAGAGGTACTGCTCAGAAGTGTCAGGCTGAGGGGTCAAAGGACTCAGACTGGTCTGGGCCATCCAGGAACTCGGCTGACTCTGTGTGTGTGTATGCATACGTGTGCGCACGCGTGTATATGTGTGTATGTGCACATACATGTGTGTGTATGCATACTTTTGATGCAAGCCATTCTGTGTGTGTATATGTGTGCGCGCATGTGTATGTGCGCACGCATGAGTGTGTATGCATACTTTTGATGCAAGCCACTCTGTGTGTGTGTGTATGCATACTTTTGATGCAAGCCACTCTATGTGTGTGTTATGTGTGTGTGTGTGTATGCACACTTTTGATGCAAGCCACTCTATGTGTGTGTGTGTATGCATACTTTTGATGCAAGCCACAAGAGAAGTTTCAAAGAAACTGGTTTTGGCATCCATGGCAATGGAATTTGAATCCCAGCTATGTGGCTTACTGCCGGGGTGACCTTAGGAAAATCATTTCCCCCCTCTCTGGGCCTCAGTTTCCTCACCTGTAAAACGAGTGGGAGCTGGAAAGTTCCTCCCTTCTAGGTCTAAATCTTATGAAACCAACTTCTTTGGCAGAAGAAATGTGTTTTCTGCTGGGCCACCCCCACTTCTTTCTTCCTGAGAGTCCCCGAGACTACCCTGACCCTCAACTTACCCTGTAGCAGCGTGTAGAAGGCACCGGAAGCTGACAGGTTGGTGGTTATGGTCACGTCATCTTTGCTGGAAGTTTCCACCTGGACGTGCACTGAGCTGTCTGTATCGCTTCGGAAGCTGCTCACTTGGCCAGTGGGGAATGTCACATTTGTCAGGCGGCCAAAGCTGTCATACCTGCAAACCAGAGGAGTGGGCTGACTCATGAGTGACAAACAGATGAGAAGCAGCTGTCTTGAGGCAGTGCGGAGGAGTAGGAGAAGAACATAGGCTTTGGAATTGGGAGACCTGGATTTAAATCCCTGCTCTCCTGCTTGCTAGCTATCAGACCAGGGGCAGGTCATAGCCTCTCCCTGGGCCTTAATTTTCTCATCTGCAAAATGGGCATAATAATACTTGTACTTTCTGCCTCACAAGGTGGTTATGTAAACTTTAAGTTCTAGAGAAAGTAACTTATTCATACACTGCTGGTTGGGGAGAAAAGCACGAGGCAGGTCAATAAAACACACAGGGCATCAGTCCCACCCATATGCTTCTGAGTGGCTTCCAGATCACCCAGTGAACGAATAAATGAAGATGAATTTAACAAGAGCTCACTATGTGCTAAGCACATACAAATAACAATCAGAGCTGCGCTGGCCGGAATGAGCTGCCTCCAGAGGTAACTAACGAGGCACACCCTTCCACCTCAACAGGGTGTTCAAGAGAAGATGGATGGATCCCTTGCTGGGGATGGTGTAGATGGAAGTCATGTTTCTGGTTTATGTTGTACTATGTTATCCTGGAACTAAGAATGGTGATTCCAAGAAGCGTGTCATCCCTACTGTCCTCACGATTTAAATAGCTAGCATTTACATAATGCTTTAAGTTTTACAAGGTGCTTTACAGATATTATCTCATTCGATTCTCACAACAGCCCTGGGACATAAGTACTTTTATTATCCCCATTTTACAGTTGAGAAAACTAAGACAAACAGAGGGTAAGTGACTGAGGCTGGATTTGAACTCAGGTCTTGACTCAGGTCTTGCTGACTCCAGGCCCTATGTTCCATCCACTGTACTACCTTGCTGCAGTTCCTTGTGATGGGACATTTTGCATATTTAACATGTAAAAATATTTCCTCACATGTAGATTCTGCCCAGGTCTGAGTCCTAAGCTCAATTATGCCACAGGCTCCCTCTGAGAACTGAAGGCCAGGGGTTTAATGCTGCCAAGGAGATGACCACCTACTGGGGTGAAGAAGGGGTTCCTGAGCATGTAAGCTGTAGGTGTACACTGGAGTTCTCTTATTCTTTTTAAAAAATTATTTATTTTTAGTTTTTAACACTCACTTCCATAAGATTTTGAGTTCCAAATTTTTTCTCCATCTCTTCCCTCCCCTTACCCCAAGATGGCGTGTAATCTGATACAGGCTCTACCTATGCATTCATATTGAACCTGTTTTCACATTAGTCATGTTGTAAAGAATAAGAACCAATGGGGGAAATCACAAGAAAGAAGAAACAAAAAACAAAACAACATAAAAACAAAAAAGAGAGAGAGCAAATAGCATGCTTTGATCTGTGTTCAGACTCCATAGCTCTTTCTTTGGATGTAGACAGGTCATGAGACCTTTGGAGATGTCTTAGATCCTTGCACTGCTAAGAAAAGCTAAGTCTACCAAAGTTAATCATCACACATTGTGGCTGTTACTGTGTATAACATTGTCTTGGTTCTGCTCACTTCACTCAGCATCAGTTCATTTAAGTCTTTACAGGTTTTTCTGAAGTCTGCCTGCTCATCATTTCTTATAGCACAACAGTATTCCATTACATTTATATACCACAACTTACTCAGCCATTCCCCAACTGATGGGTATCCCCTCAATTTCCAATTCTTTGCCAACACAAAAAGAGCTGCTATAAATATTTTTGTACGTGTGGGTCCTTTTCCCATTTGTATGATCTCTTTGGGATACAGCCCTAGAAGTGGTATTGCTGGGTCAAAGGGTATGCACATTTTTATAGCCCTTTGGGCATAGTTCCGACTTGCTCTTCTGAATGGTTGGATCAGCTCACAACTCCACCAATAATGCACTGAGTTCTCTTACTCTTGCCATCTGGGAATTGCAGGAACAAGTGGGGGTGAGGAAGACTGTCAGGCCTAAGAAATTTTGGAAATCTAATGGAATCCCTGAAGTGGAGGTGATACCCGAAAGTCCTAGTTTAATCTCTACCTGACACATGAATTCATTCTACATCATTCCTGACAAGTGGTAATCCTGCCTCTGCTCAAAGACCTTCAATGGTTCATTAACTTATGAGGTAGGCCATTCCATTGTTGGACAGCTTTAATTATTCAATTCAATTCAATTCAATTAAACAAACATGTATTACGAATGTACCCTGATCAAGGCCCTGCACTAGATGATGGTAATATAAAAAGAGAAATGCTATCCCTCCCCTCAAGGAGTTTATATTTCACTGGGGAAATGAGGAGGACAACAGTTGTTAAGAAGTTCTTTCTTAGATCCAGCTGAAATCTATCTCTGCAACCTTACCCATTGATTCTGCTTTTTCCCTGCATGCAATGTCTCTTGCATATGACAGTCCTTCAGTCACTTGACAATAATCTACTCCTGACTGTGTTACTTACTACCTGGGTGATTTCATGCAAGTAACTGCTCTCTCTGTCTCTGTCTCTCTCTTTACCCCCTCGTACCTTAGTTTGTCCATCTTTGGATAAGTCAGAGTATCTCAAAGTTTTCTTCCAGATACTGATCCTATGATTTTATGATTTCCCAGATGCAGACATTTACCTACCTTCCAGGGACATCATACGGTATGAGGGTCTTAGGGTCTTGGGAGAAAAATTAGGTTATCTTTTTCTTTGGATCAGGAGAAGATTGCAGTGTGAGAGTGAGTGGCTTTTTTTCCTTTTAATTATTAGGTTACGGAAAGCATTGAGATGGATGAGGTCCACTACAGAAAAAAGTAGTGTCAACATTAGAGCCAGCACCAAGTTTGTTACTGAAAACCTTTTACCCTGGGCCAAGAAAGATAGGGGCTTTGACTATAGGAGTAGGGAGTATAGGAGTATAGGAGTACAGGAGCATGAACTCATCCTCAGACTTGCCAGTCTTACAGACACTCATATTTTCTCACAAATTAGCTACATGACCCTGGGCAAATCACTTAATTTCTCTGAGCCTTTATTTTCCTAATCTGTAAAAAGGGGATAATAATACAAGGCTGTTGTAAAGAAAATGTTTTATTAACTGTAAAGGGCTCTGCAGATGTGTCAGACAGGTGGAACAGTGATTATGTCACTGGGCCTGGAGTCCGGAAGACCTGAATTCAAATCTGTCTCAGACGCTTAGCTGTTCGACCCTGGGCAATTCACTTAACCTCTATTTGCCTGAGCTTCTCCAACTGTATAATGGGGTTAATAACAGCATCTGTCTTGCAGAGCTCTCATGAGGATCAAATGAGATAATATTTATAAAGAGCTTAGCACAGTGCCTAGTCATAGGAGGAATTTAATAAAGCTTATTTCTTTCAATTTTATTTCCTCCTCCTCCTTCTTTTTCCTCTTCCTCCCCTTTCTCTTTCTTCTTTCCATTTATTCCCCTCCTCCTTCTCCTCTTTCTCATTACTACTGTAATTCTTGCAGACACATGACCACACCGGGGCCTGAAACAAGAGTCAGGAGACTCAAGTATTGAGAACAGCACCATCTTCCTGCTTCCCAATGTGCTTGTTAGCACTGAAGAAGACGGGCGCCAGTGACGGGAGGGTTGAATGTTTTGGCATCTCCAGTGAAGCAAACATAGCCTAACCTTAGGGCGGAGCTCATGAGAGAGAATCAGTGAAGCTGGAAAGATGTTAGAGCAGCCAAAGGGGTCCATTCCACTTTCTACTTCCTACTGGGAAGGATTGCACTGAGATTCCTTCAGAGGTCTCTGGGTGGTACAAATGAAGCTACGGATACCCTCATTCTCCTTCCCTTACCACCTGCCTTCCCTGGGTCATCAAACTTTTTGCATTAGAAGAGAGGATATGCCTCTGACATCTGAGGTCTCTTCTAATGCAAAAAGTTTGATGACTCAGGGATACCCGTGAGACCAGAGGCCTCAGTTTCTTCTCTTGTAAAGTGGAGATAACATTACCTGCACTATATAGATTAATGAGGAAAGGGTCTTTGTCAACCTTACACGGCAATATAGATGTGAGCGACTCTTATTAACCTACCCTGGGGAGTTATTCACAGGCTCACTGTATAATCATAAGCATATCATTTCACCTTTGAGCCTTAGTTTTCTCATCTGCAAAATAGGCAGATTAATGCTCAAAGCCCATAGGAGTTCTGAAAGGTTAAAATAAGAAAATGAATAGCAAAGTGCCTTTTAAAAAGCAGCCGGTGGCACGGTGGATAAAGTGTTGGGTCTGGAAATTCAGCCTCAGAGACTTAATAGCCATTTGACCCTGGACAAGGCACTCGCTCTCTCTTTGCCTCAGATACCTCAACTGTAAAATGGGCATAATGGGATAGAGATGTCATTTTCCCCCCATCCAAGTTCACAGATCCCCCAAAATCTTGGACCCCAGGTTAAAGACCCATAGGCAGGGTGGCAGATTAAGAACACTATACTGAACTGGATTCAATCCCAGCTCTTTTACTTACTGCCTGTGTGAACCAAGTAGTAGGTGCCTTCCAACCAATGATTCCACGATCTTCAGTAATTATATTGTGGCTTTGATAATATGTTACCAGTAGTTTATTTGGGGTGTCTTCCTTAAGTATTTCCCAAAGGTCACATGCTAGCATCTAATGTTTTCACTACCCTACTGTAGATGGGGATGTGAGATGGGAGAGCAAGTATGCTATTAACATTTTTATTATTATTTTTAATTAAGGGCAGATGAAGTATAAAAATCAGGTCTGAATAATAGCCTTTAGCACTCACTTGCAAATGCAACAGGCATTGCTTTTTTTTTTTTAATACACACGCCCATTATTTCTGTCAATTGCTTTTGCCTTGGAAATATATTATTCCTTGGGCCCTTATTCCTCCCCCCTTCTCTTATGATTAACACAAGGGCATCCATTTCTAGAATGCCTAAAGGTTTACAAGGCACACATCTGGAGTGGAATTCAAACCCAGACCTCTGGGCTCTGAGTTCCATTTACTTGAAGG